ATATTGGTCATCAAGCCCCACATCCTGTATGTCATTTTAACGTTTATTTTCTCATCTACATTTATACACAAGTTCAGGCAATATCAGACTTTACACTAACACGATAAAAAGCATACTGTGGGCACAAAATAAAACCTTGTGTCATGTGGTGACATGGGGGACTCAAAATGCTCAACTCAAGACTCAAACATATATAAATGATTTAATAATGAAAAAACGAGACCAGGAACAAAGGCACGAACATGAACAATACAATGGACCAGCAACAAGAGGAGAGGAGCACATGGTACATATGGACACAGACACAGGTGAAACACAGCAGGGCGGGGCACACAGGACAGGAAGTACAACAGAGAACAATGTCAAAATAAAACAAAAATAAAACATAAAACCCACACCATGACGCCTTGTTCGTCACATTTCTTACATGTTTATCTGCATCTAGAAAGTTGAAGTAATCCATGCTTGCTATGGCTCATTCATTCTGTAAATATGTCCATGGAAGAAACAATATCCACTTCGAAATATTTTTCTTCCCCTTAATCCATTTCTGGGTCGGGGGGGTGGCAGTCAGAGCTGCACCCAGTTCACAGAGCACCAGCCCCTCACTGATCCTCCTGCAGGTGCTGAGTCCACAGGAGCTGAGATCTTTCAGTGGGAGCTTCAGGCAAAGTGAGTTAAGTGTCTTGCCCAAGGACACAACGACAGCAGTCATCAGTGGGAGTCGTGAAGTAGGTCTTATGGTGGGCTCGAACCCACGACCTTCAGGCTCAAAGGCCAATGCTCTACAACTGAGCTACTGTCGCCCACTCCATTATCCCATTCTTGAGATATTATATATAAAAAAGTAAAATTTTCTTCTTCCCGCTTTGACAAAACTTTGATGGATTTGGCCCAAAACATGATGGCATCTTCCATCCTCTCTTCGTGATCTAATCTTTGCTGAGCTTATCCGTGCAGTACTTTTTCTAAAACAGCCTCGTTTGAAACAAATGTGCTGCGTCCCTGTTCACTCAGCGATAGCTAACTAACATGTTTGACTCTCCCTAACTTGTTATTCTAAATGCTGGATAGGTCTAAACAGACTATGGAAATAATCTTCACACGTGGGTACAAGTGTAAAAGAGGGGAAATGAAACGCAGCAGTTTCACGCAGCATGTAATTACACTATTAAAAAGATAAATAAAATAAAAACGGTAAAAAAAATAGCTTGTAAGTACCAAAACATATACATATGGTTTTTTTTTTTTTTTGATAGATGACCTAATAATTGTCACAAAGTGTTCCAAAAAAGTTGTGAGTGGCACTAATGAAAAAGGTTAACTGCATCAAATCTATAAAACCTAGAGATCTGAAACTTCACACAGTTGTTGCCAACATAAAAATGACCACAAGGTTTGAAAATGTTGAGCTTACAATGAAGAATGCCTTTGTTTGGGGGTTTATAAAATCAATATCGTTGGCAAGGCTAAAAAAAGTTAGTTTTTTCCAAGTGAAATTGGAATGACATATTACATTATTATTGTGTGTATTTCTGCATAAACTATGAGGCTATAGCTTTAAAAAGATGCATCCCACAAGTATGTGATGTGTAAGATGTATTTTAAATTTGGGTATGCCCAACTTTGCCCAAGCCAAGATGAGGCGGCTGCAAAGAGATTAAAAACAAGTATTGCCACATTTCTTTGGTCAAATGTAATTTAAATATGCGCTTTTTAAGGATTAAAATTAATGGGTTAATTGTTTGGATCCCAAGATGTCAGTGAATAGGGATTTTCTTCATATAATATCTTCAAAGAGAAGACTTACAGTGTGTTTTGTTTCATTACAAATACTTTGTTAACACATTTACATTTAATTCAGCTGTCATTCAAGAAATACAAATCAAATCAAAGCACTTTGGTTAGAAAAACTACCAACACACACAGATTGACACACACACATACACACAGACACACGTACACACACACCTTCACAGACACACACACAGATTGACACAGATTGACACACACCTTCACAGACACACACACAGATTGACACAGATTGACACACACCTTCACAGACACACACACAGATTGACACACGTACACACACACCTTCACAGACACACACAGATTGACACACGTACACACACACCTTCACAGACACACACACAGATTGACACACGTACATACACACCTTCACAGACACACACACAGATTGACACACGTACACACACACCTTCACAGACACACACACACACACACACACCTTCACAGACACACACACAGATTGACACACACACACACACATACACGTTTTTGTTACCTGGTGGGTCCCTTTGACAGGGCCGTTCAGAATGGGACCCATAGACATAATCTTTTTTTACTGGGACTACTTTAAGTAATACAAAACAGTCAATAGAAACCAAACAACTATTTTAAAGGAATTTTATTTTTGATTTTTTTTTTTGAATTGCAGTGATTCTATTTTTGACATAGAATTTAATGCCACTCCATGTCCGATGTCTAAGGTCATCTGGTGAGGCATTAATGCAGGCCAGGCCAGGCCAGGCCAGGCAGTGAGACTTCCCAGGGACTTTTCCAGTCTGTATGAAAGGCGTCATGGTCTTCTCCACAGCCTTCACCTCAGATGCAGACCATGGCTTTCTCTAACGTTCTAGGGAGAGAAATAAAAATATATTAGCAATATACACTCCCAGGGTTAGGACCAAGCAGCCTGGCTGTAATCCCCCACCTGGTACACTTACCAGAAGGGGCACTGCCACTACCATGGGGTGCATCTGGATGAATGGTTGAAGGTTCTCCGCTTGAAGTTTCTTTTAGCCCGTCCGTTTGTGAGAGGATCTCTACTGCTCTCCCTGTCGCACAGAAAATAAAAATACAAGTGGCCTTTAGGGGAAAAAAAATCATACATATTTTAATAATATCAAGAATTACCTTCAGGCTCAATTTGTATCTGGTCGAGGCTCTTTCCTTTGAATTCCGTCACTCTTCCCTGCTCCATGGCCATCAACACTGCTGATTTTGGCCAGCTCCAGTGTCCCCTCTGGTAGTCTGTAATATTGTCTGTGGATGTGAATGTCATGGCCGAGGAAGTTGGCTAGTATGTCCATTTCATTCTCTTTCATATTGAGAACTGTAGACATAGTAGCTATGTGCTTTCTAAGTTTGGTTGAGGATAGCATCTCTGGATGCACCGCACCACATTCTTTGGCTACCTGGCGTAGGGAGTCTGATCCCCTGATGTGGGTGTCTGCGCCCGGGCGGGAAAAGAAGTATCTTTTTAATGCACTGTGACTATTTATGATTTTAGTCCCATCTGTGATTTTAATATTTAAAGGTTTTTAATTTTTGTGATTTTATTTTTAATGTTTTTGGTATATCTTGTGCTCTTAATGTGTTTGATTTGTGCATGGTGTGGTAGGGGATGTGAAGCGCTTTGCGTTGCCTTGTGTAGGAAAGGCGCTCTACAAATAAACGTTGATTGATTGATTGATTGATTGTATGGGTTATGGTCAGAGATGGAACAGGCCCTTCTGTTCTCCACCAGCACCTCCATCCAAGCAATCATTTCAGGAGTCAAAAGAACCGGCACTTTCCGACTTCTTTTCCCTTTAATTTCAATGCGTTGAAAATGCTGACACAGCTTTTTCTCAAGTTGGGACAGTCCCAGAGCAATGTCAGAATGGATCCCAGTCTTACTTCTTAAGGTAAAAGCTGTCAGTGGCATCTTTGAAACCTCACCTTCCCTTCTTCGATTGAAAATAATGACCTCACAAAGAGTCAAAACTGCCAGTTTAGACCAATGCTTAGACGTTGGCTCACTTATTAGGGTTTGCACATATTCAGGTCGACATACCTCAATATGTGCATGCATGGCTCTAACGTCCTCAGTCAGAGGGAGCAGGTCCGGAGTGTTCCACTTGGCTTGCCGGAGGGTCTGTAGGGCAGCAGAAGAAACACAGACGTCCCACCTCTTCTCAAAAAGCAGCCGGCTTCGTTGGAGGTTTTTAATAAATAGTTCATCAACACAATGCTCCATTTTTGAGTCACATTCAAGAATATCTGCTTTCTGAGGCTATGGCCGAGTTTGAGGGCCAAGGATGGAGTCTTGTATTGATTTGTTTCCTCATCATATCCAGCCACAGACCTGACTGCATCAATCACATGGTTAAAGTTGGAAGGAATAAAGAAATCCTTCATTGTTTTCAGTTTCCCTGCGGTTTTTGCTTCGTTAATTAACCTACCGACTTCTCTCATTTTGTGCCTAATGTAATCATGCTTAGTCTTATCATGCCCGTGTTTTAAGTACAGGTGCTCTCCGAGTCTCAGAATCCCCTTTTCTGCTTTGACAACACCCGTGACCTCATCCTGATGCATTGCCCAAATTAAAGACCACAGCTTTTTGCTGATGCCCTCCGGTACAGGCTGGGCTAGGGAGCAGAGGGACTGGACCCTACTTCTACCTGGTTTAGCCTGGGCATCTTTCTGTGAAAGCCGGCACCTGGCCACATGCCTCCACAGCCACTTTCGCTTAAGCAATGCCCCACAGTCTATACAGTGCAAAAACTCACTGGATTTAACTGGGGAATTTGGCTGTTTAGCTGGGACTAAAGTTCCAATGCCGGCCTTTAAAACCTCAACATTGTGCTCACGGTTTCCACTATTCCTGATCAAATCAAACTGAAGTTTACGTGCTTTAGATTTCACAGGTAGAGCCAATGCTCTGGCTACGTCACTTTCATTTCCATGTTTTCTAGTCAAATGACGGGACATTTTGTGGCAGGACATTGAACAGTAGAGGCAGAAGTGCCTCTTGCTGTAAACCCTGCCCCCATTTTTCTTCTTTTGCAGCTGCATGATAACAATCTTATTTGCCTTTGGTTCGTCACTTTCCGAGTCTTGAAGAAAAGTGTTTTTGATTTTTCTTTTTCCATACTTTTTTACAGGTTTCTTCTTGACAGTTAAATCGTCAGAATCTGAGTCGACTTCATCAATTAGGGACTCTTGACTAAGCTGCACAAACAACAAATAATTTGTAATAATTCTATATAACAATTTGAAGTCATGACTTGTAGTCAGCACTTACCAGTGGTTTGTAAGCGTGCGCTTCAGTGTGCTGCTCTGTGATTGGCTGCAGCCTAATGAACCACACACTTGCACCTTTTCTAGCCTGACACCTGACTTCCTCTGTTGTGCTGCTCCATGATTGGCTCCAGCCTCTGTTGTGCTGCTCCATGATTGGCTCCAGCCTCTGTTGTGCTGCTCCATGATTGGCTCCAGCCTCTGTTGTGCTGCTCCATGATTGGCTCCAGCCTCTGTTGTGCTGCTCCATGATTGGCTCCAGCCTCTGTTGTGCTGCTCCATGATTGGCTCCAGCCTGCTGGACTGAAATTGCCCCAGTGTGCCCCTCCTTGATATCCCGCAACCCACCACCAGGGTTCCGACACATAACACACTTTTTTCAGGAAAGTAAACCTCCAGGGGTCCTTTCCATATTTTTACAGAGACTGCATAAGGACCGTTAGAAAAGCATTACCCATTGATTATTAAGCTTGGACCAGTGGGGTCCGGTGTTCGGGACCCACTACGTAAAACCAGTCCCCATGACGTGAGTGGAATCTCAGGTTATGGAACCCACCAGGAGTTGAAAACAAGTACACACACACACACACACACACACACCTTCACACACACACACCTTCACAGACACACACAGCTCCTCTCCCTGGTATCAAAGGTTCCCGCTGCTCAGTCTTGTGTGCAGACGTGAAACATGACAGACACACACACACACACACACACACACACACACACACACACACACACACACACCACTGTGTGCAGACGTGAAACAGACAGGCACATGTTTGTGTGAGGAGTTTCAACATCATCTCAGCCTCAGAGGTCTCTGTTAAAGGAGACTTATTCTGCTAAAACATTGGTAAATTTAAATATCATAACCTTTTTAGATGAGATGAGTGTTTCAATATTAAATGAACAAGTATGCTCAGTATCAGTGCATCCTGGTTTCCCCAGACACAAACAGTGGCTTCAAAAAAGGACTAAAATGACTTGAACATATGCACACTGTCATGTTTAAAGAAAAGTGAGACAAACATGTATTGTTGTGTTTTCACTTCACAGTTGTGATCTTCAAAAGAAATTCCAAATGATATAGGTCTGTGGTTGTAAACATGACATGGTGAGAAACAGGGATATCTTTTGGTTATTTTCAACATATATTATGTAAAGCTTTTTTTTTGGAAACGTATAATGCAAAACACTGTTTAACTATGGTCAATATTGTTCCCTCATCACAAATAGACCTGGGGCTGTTTTAATATCACACACTTTTGGCACAGGTTGCCTTTTAAAACAAAAGTATTGTTCATACATTTGTTTTGGCAAACTCTCATGGGTAAATTACAATCTTTACCACCACAGTTCTGTGTTTGAAGCTGGTAATTATCTAATTTAAAAAAAATCTAATTCTGCGTCTGAGGCTCTGCTTGGTCAGGACTGGAGCTGGGTGGTCTAAAGTAGTTTTGTGAATGTATTGGTGCATCATTTGAGACTTTGAGCTAAAAAACATGACTACCCTTGAAACTTATTTTCAATGCTCCGGACAAAGGCATGTCAGACTATTTCAATAAACCCCCAGTGTGTCTTTTAACGCCATAAAAATCCCATTTATCCGACTCAGGCCTCAGACCGCACACCGCCCAATGACACGCTCTGGATGAAGATATGCTAATGCTAACATGTTTGGCACTAACCTACTTAGTCCCCCTCCGTGTTCAATTAACCTCCTGACTTCTGCCGTCTAAATTGGTCCATAGCAGATGAACTCATTTGATTAGAGCTATTTATCTTCTCAGCCAGAGGTGGTTAGCCAGGCACTGGAGAAAAGTAGGGCAAAGTTGTGAAAGGACGCTACAGCGCTGTTTTACTCGTCAGTGTGTGTACAACAGTCCACTGTCTGATTTTGAGGTTGACGTCGGGAGAAATGTTTAGCTTGGGTACCTCTTTTTTCCCCATAAATGAAAGAGTCTTGTAAAAGTAAAACATTGCATTTAACTCACTATTTTATGCTTTGGGCTGGGAGCTGATTGCTTGAGTGAAGGTGGTTCTCTTTTTCAGTCAAAAATATGATCTAAAGCTGTAGCCGCGGCCATGAAACATGAATGTGAAAGATAGCCATAGAACTAGGGCTGTCAAAGGATTAAAATTTTTAATTGAGTTAATTACAGCTTTAAAATTAATTGATCGTATTTAATCGCATATCGAACTACCGGCAAAATTATGTGATATTTTTCTGTGAATGGTTGTTTGAATGAAAAGATAGACATAGTGTGAGATTTCATAACACTTTGAAGCAACTTTTTATTATTTTTTCCATTAACATTCTGTCTTTCTGTAGTCGACTGTGTTTTTTCAGCTCCACATATTCCACCTTCTTTTTCTCTATCTCATAAAAATTAGATACCCCAGCTTTAATTTAGCGAGTTTAGTTGGGCTTCAGGAGGAGACACGGACACTCCCCGGGCTCCATGTATGGTCTTGGATACATAGTCCTGTGGTGTGTATGGTCATGGATACATAGTCCTGTTGTGTGTATGGTCTTGGATACATAGTCCTGTTGTGTGTATGGTCTTGGATACATAGTCCTGTGGTGTGTATGGTCATGGATACATAGTCCTGTGGTGTGTATGGTCTTGGATACATAGTCCTGTGGTGTGTATGGTCTTGGATACATAGTCCTGTGGTGTGTATGGTCTTGGATACATAGTCCTGTGGTGTGTATGGTCTGGGATACATAGTCCTGTGGTGTGTATGGTCTTGGATACATAGTCCTGTGGTGTGTATGGTCTTGGATACATAGTCCTGTGGTGTGTATGGTCTTGGATACATAGTCCTGTTGTGTGTATGGTCTTGGATACATAGTCCTGTGGTGTGTATGGTCTTGGATACATAGTCCTGTTGTGTGTATGGTCTTGGATACATAGTCCTGTTGTGTGTATGGTCTTGGATACATAGTCCTGTGGTGTGTATGGTCTTGGATACATAGTCCTGTGGTGTGTATGGTCTTGGATACATAGTCCTGTTGTGTGTATGGTCTTGGATACATAGTCCTGTTGTGTGTATGGTCTTGGATACATAGTCCTGTGGTGTGTATGGTCTTGGATACATAGTCCTGTGGTGTGTATGGTCTTGGATACATAGTCCTGTTGTGTGTATGGTCTTGGATACATAGTCCTGTTGTGTGTATGGTCTTGGATACATAGTCCTGTTGTGTGTATGGTCTTGGATACATAGTCCTGTGGTGTGTATGGTCTTGGATACATAGTCCTGTGGTGTGTATGGTCTTGGATACATAGTCCTGTGGTGTGTATGGTCTTGGATACATAGTCCTGTTGTGTGTATGGTCTTGGATACATAGTCCTGTTGTGTGTATGGTCTTGGATACATAGTCCTGTGGTGTGTATGGTCTTGGATACATAGTCCTGTGGTGTGTATGGTCTTGGATACATAGTCCACGTCTCCGGGGCTCCAGCTCTGTCCCTGTCCCATTGTCTCCGGGGCTCCAGCTCTGTCCCTGTCCCATTGTCTCCGGGGCTCCAGCTCTGTCCCTGTCCCATTGTCTCCGGGGCTCCAGCTCTGTCCCTGTCCCATTGTCTCCGGGGCTCCAGCTCTGTCCCTGTCCCATTGTCTCCGGGGCTCCAGCTCTGTCCCTGTCCCATTGTCTCCGGGGCTCCAGCTCTGTCCCTGTCCCATTGTCTCCGGGGCTCCAGCTCTGTCCCTGTCCCATTGTCTCCGGGGCTCCAGCTCTGTCCCTGTCCCATTGTCTCCGGGGCTCCAGCTCTGTCCCTGTCCCATTGTCTCCGGGGCTCCAGCTATGTCCCTGTCCCATTGTCTCCGGGGCTCCAGCTCTGTCCCTGTCCCATTGTCTCCGGGGCTCCAGCTCTGTCCCTGTCCCATTGTCTCCGGGGCTCCAGCTCTGTCCCTGTCCCATTGTCTCCGGGGCTCCAGCTCTGTCCCTGTCCCATTGTCTCCGGGGCTCCAGCTCTGTCCCTGTCCCATTGTCTCCGGGGCTCCAGCTCTGTCCCTGTCCCATTGTCTCCGGGGCTCCAGCTCTGTCCCTGTCCCATTGTCTCGGGGCTCCAGCTCTGTCCCTGTCCCATTGTCTCCGGGGCTCCAGCTCTGTCCCTGTCCCATTGTCTCCGGGGCTCCAGCTCTGTCCCTGTCCCATTGTCTCCGGGGCTCCAGCTCTGTCCCTGTCCCATTGTCTCCGGGGCTCCAGCTCTGTCCCTGTCCCATTGTCTCCGGGGCTCCAGCTCTGTCCCTGTCCCATTGTCTCCGGGGCTCCAGCTCTGTCCCTGTCCCATTGTCTCCGGGGCTCCAGCTCTGTCCCTGTCCCATTGTCTCCGGGCTCCAGCTCTGTCCCTGTCCCATTGTCTCCGGGGCTCCAGCTCTGTCCCTGTCCCATTGTCTCCGGGGCTCCAGCTATGTCCCTGTCCCATTGTCTCCGGGGCTCCAGCTCTGTCCCTGTCCCATTGTCTCCGGGGCTCCAGCTCTGTCCCTGTCCCATTGTCTCCGGGGCTCCAGCTCTGTCCCTGTCCCATTGTCTCCTGTCCTGGGCTCCAGCTCTGTCCCTGTCCCATTGTCTCCGGGGCTCCAGCTCTGTCCCTGTCCCATTGTCTCCGGGGCTCCAGCTCTGTCCCTGTCCCATTGTCTCCGGGGCTCCAGCTCTGTCCCTGTCCCATTGTCTCCGGGGCTCCAGCTCTGTCCCTGTCCCATTGTCTCCGGGGCTCCAGCTCTGTCCCTGTCCCATTGTCTCCGGGGCTCCAGCTCTGTCCCTGTCCCATTGTCTCCGGGGCTCCAGCTCTGTCCCTGTCCCATTGTCTCCGGGGCTCCAGCTCTGTCTGTCCCTGTCTCCATTGTCTCCGGGGCTCCAGCTCTGTCCCTGTCCCATTGTCTCCGGGGCTCCAGCTCTGTCCCTGTCCCATTGTCTCCGGGGCTCCAGCTCTGTCCCTGTCCCATTGTCTCCGGGGCTCCAGCTCTGTCCCTGTCCCATTGTCTCCGGGGCTCCAGCTCTGTCCCTGTCCCATTGTCTCCGGGGCTCCAGCTCTGTCCCTGTCCCATTGTCTCCGGGGCTCCAGCTCTGTCCAGGGAAAGTGACAGGAGCCATGCTGGGTATTGACAGGCAGAGAGGAGGCTTATCTGGGGCCAGCAGCCGTGCACTTACGCTGTGTGAGAAGGGACAGAAAGAAATGTATAAGAGAGCAGCAAAATATTTAAAGATGAAGTATTTTGCATTATTCCCAAGGATGACATGTGATTTATATTTTGTTACATTGTCATCATGATTTCCTAAGAATGCATCTGCCTGAGGACCGTGATACAACACAATACAATACAATGTATTCTTGTATAGCCCTAGGTCACAACAGAAGTCATCTCAGAGACTTAACAAAACCATTGAAATCACCAACACAGGTCAGAGAATCAACAGTTAAAACACATGAAGAATATAAAGCACACACAGAAGAAAATGTCCATACATGTTGTAGAATGCTAAAGTGTCCTGATCATCACCAATCCTTTCTGTTGGACACTAACTGTCCAACAAGACCCTCCTGCATCCACAAGGAACAACTCTTAAAAAACCCAGTGGGAAAAAGTGAGAAACCTTGGGGAGAACTAGGGAAACCCACAGGGAGGGAGACCCATATGAGAAAGGGATCCGCTCCTCCGGACGGACAGGCTAATGATCCAGGACCTAAGCTAGCTACAGAACGTGGACCAGTGGCCGCTGAACGTGGACAGGTCCGGTGCAGGACTGAAGCACTCCCAGGCGGGTCGGGCGGGGCAGTCCGCAGGTGTAGATGGAGGAGGCCAGGCTCAGAGATCCTGTCATCGTACCATGAAACAGACAATGGGACAACGGGTGAATAGCAATGAACAAACTACAGTCAGAATCCTAAAAATGCTAAACAGATAAAGTAGGAAGGAGGAGAGGATAGTGCAGTTACCTTACTTCTCCAGCTACAGTCCAGTGATATGACCATGGACTGTAGAAAGGAGAGGACAGAGGCTGTGTTCTCCTCTGTTCTCGTCCTCTGATGAAGTCAGGGACGCCTAGGGGCCACTGAGCATTATTAGTCTTGACTTTAGTCTGTTACCACTGATTTTAAGTGAACAATATTTTGTCATATTCACATTTCCATAAAGAAAGGCTAACTGGACTAATGCTAGTGCTAATGTGCACCCAGGTCCTCTTCTAAACTTTCAACACGGCCTTAAAAGACTATAAACCTGACACAATAATGAACCATTAAAACACCCACATAGCTTTCCAATTTTCACTTACATTTTTGAAACATCTTAATGTAAAAACAGAAAATGTCACACTGTTATGTTGGCCTTGCGTTTAATAGCACAGTTTTTCACTCCCACGGAATCATTAGTCACAATTGGAACGCATTAGCCAGAGCCTCAGCACAGACAAACGTCCACAAAGCCAGTGACGTTTTATTGATTGACATTCTGCGGACGGAGCGAGAGAAGTTTACAAATTCTTCTTGAATAACACCCACATGTACATCATCGTCAATGTGTGCGTTTAGGATCTATTCTTAAAAGTCACAAAACAGTTATTGAAATCTTGTTATAGTGTTTGTTTAATTGATTAAAAAAACATATTCTATGAAAATCTATCTAAAATGTTTATTAAAGTGTCTGAGATTCTGGTAAATTTGTCATTAGTTTGACTGTTTATTTTCCAGTGTTATTATTGCCCCACCAACAGGGGTATTGTAATAATCTCTGTGTGTGGTCTGTGACAGATTTGCACAACTGATTATGTTTTAGAGTTTCTCTGTTGTGTATATTTACCACCGTTTCATTTTAAAGCAGAGATTCTTTTTTGTAGCCTCCAAACTAGGGCTGAAACAACTAATCGATTAATCGACGACTAACCGATTATTGAAATAGTCCGACAACTATTTTAGTAATCGATTAGTCGTTTTCTGGTTCACACGGACTCAAACAGAGCAAACATGACATGAAAATGAGTATTTTGATTAAAAACCGACTTTGTTTTATAATTTCATGAACATCTGTCTGTCTCATCCAATCAGAGCAGGATTAGCACAAAGAAGCCTGTTACAAAACATTTACTTTAAGTTTACGCCTCAATACGTCCTCGAGTGTTCCCCCCCCCCCGCCCCCCCCCACTTTAGCTGTTTTGTGATGAAAAATATTTTTTTTCTACACAATTCACAGCCAAGAAATTACTCGATTAATCGTAAAAATAATTGATATATTAATCGATTACAAAATAATCGTAGTTGCAGCTCTACTCCAAACAGCTTTAGCAAACAACAGCAGGGCGCGTTTCGGCGCGCGTGTGATGTAAGCTGCATAACTTGTTTTTTTATGGACGCTGTCGCAAATTTAATTAAAATATATTATATTTGTGTCAGATTCTTGTCCAAACACAATTTAACAAGTATTGTGTATGAATTGAATCAAAACAATTCCAACACAAATATTTAGAAGCTATTTATTTATCCCACTTTTTATTGACATTTTTTTTGTGGATATTATTTTGCGACCCCCACTTTGGGAACCACTTCGTCAGAGTCCATAGAAGCTCCGTAAAAGACCAAAGCAAAGCAAGCATTAGTGGAAATGAAACGCATGACCCACAAGTAATAATCACTCAAAATGATCATAAACAATTCAACCTATACCAAGGTTAAAGAATATGTAAAGGAAAACGGCTTTATACCAACAGAACACACAAAATAAACTTCAGTCCACTTTTAGGAATGCCCACAAGGTTTATTTAATGACAGAAAATAAAATAGTTCCCAAAGGCTTTCCCGTGACTATGCTACAACAGTTAGGCTGCAACAACTTCCAAACTAGAACTCTCTGGAACTGCATGAAAACTGAACAAAGAACCTGAACATCAGCGGTGAGTGACCCAAACATAAACTTAACCTAAATCCATAATTCCATCCTCTGCAAATGTTCCTAAAATGTGCCCGGTATCTACTTCCGGGTTTTTCGGGATCGCCTTTTCTCGCATTACATCAGTGTTTTTGTCATGAAAACGTAAACGGAAAATTCTGAAAATCTCCGTGCACTTGTATTAAGAATGTATAAGTATTATGTATTCTCCGATTAACATTTAAGTGTGTTGATTGAGCGTGGCTAGCTCCAGAGTGGCCGGAACTACTTGCGGAGTTATCCACGCATCTGAAAGACAAGCAGAGAGTGCGTTGCCAAAGGGCAGCGGTCATTATTGTTTTGAGAGGTCCGTTATAGAAAATAATGACCGGTAGAACGTTTTGAAGTTACATTCAAATCAATGGTTCTACTGCTGCTGTGAGGAGCGGTAATAAATTGATATATTCTTCAACCTTGGCCCACGGATAAATTTGCTCAGTATTAAAATGTTGGCCCACTTTGACTTTGACACCCCTGGTCTCAGTGGTCCTCCCCACATGGACCAATTGAATTATGTTTCTTTTAGTGTCATTTTCTTTGTTCAAACGGTTTGATTCTTTGATCTGTGTTGGTGAACTGACAACTATGTAAGTCCTCCAAGATGCTGTGATTTAAGGGTATACAAAAATAACTCGAATTTATATCGCTTGAACGAAATGTGCCAAAACTCAATGTCGATATTGTTTCCCGATATTGTGCTGCCCTTAAAGAAATTGAAGCCATACAACAGGACTGAGAATGGAAATGAATGGCCACATTTCTTGTATAACAATGAGACTTGGGTGTCATGGATTGATCCTCTTGATGATGCTATGAACTCAAGAAGTTGCCGACAAAGCATTGGGTCAGTTACAGTATTGGTCAGTTTACAGTATTGGTCAGTACAGCATTGGTCAGTTACAGCATTGGTCAGTTACAAGCATTGGTCAGTTATCAGCATTGGTCAGTCACAGCATTGGTCAGTTACAGCATTGGTCAGTTACAGCATTGGTCAGTCACAGCATTGGTCTTGTTACAGTAATTGGTCAGTTACAGTATTGGTCAGTTACAGTATTGGTCAGTTACAGCATTGGTCATTTACAGCATTGGTCAGTTACAGCATTGGTCAGTTACAGCATTGGTCAGTCACAGCATTGGTCAGTTACAGCATTGGACAGTTACAGTATTGGTCAGTTACAGTATAGGTCAGTTACAGTATTGGTCAGTTACAGTATTGGTCAGTTACAGCATTGGACAGTTACAGCATTGGTCAGTTACAGCATTGGTCAGTCACAGCATTGGTCAGTTACAGTATTGGTCAGTTACAGTATTGGTCAGTTACAGCATTGGTCAGTCACAGCATTGGTCAGTTACAGCATTGGTCAGTCACAGCATTGGTCAGTTACAGCATTGGTCAGTTACAGCATTGGTTAGTCACAGCATTGGTCAGTCACAGCATTGGTCAGTTACAGCATTGGTCAGTTACAGCATTGGTCAGTCACAGCATTGGTCAGTCACAGCATTGGTCAGTTACAGCATTGGTCAGTTACAGCACTGGTCAGTTACAGTATTGGTCAGTTACAGCATTGGTCAGTTACAGCATTGGTCAGTTACAGCATTGGTCAGTTACAGTATTGGTCAGTTACAGTATTGGTCAGTCACAGCATTGGTCAGTTACAGTATTGGTCAGTTACAGCATTGGTCAGTTACAGCATTGGTCAGTCACAGCATTGGTCAGTTACAGCATTGGTCAGTTACAGTATTGGTCAGTTACAGCATTGGTCAGTTACAGCATTGGTCAGTTACAGTATTGGTCAGTTACAGCATTGGTCAGTTACAGCATTGGTCAGTTACAGCATTGGTCAGTTACAGCATTGGTCAGTTACAGTATTGGTCAGTCACAGCATTGGTCAGTTACAGCATTGGTCAGTTACAGTATTGGTCAGTTACAGCATTGGTCAGTTACAGCATTGGTCAGTTACAGCATTGGTCAGTCACAGCATTGGTCAGTCACAGCATTGGTCAGTTACAGCATTGGTCAGTCACAGCATTGGTCAGTTACAGCATTGGTCAGTTACAGCATTGGTCAGTTACAGCATTGGTCAGTTACAGCATAGGTCAGTCAAAGCATTGGTCAGTTACAGTATTGGTCAGTTACAGCATTGGTCAGTTACAGCATTGGTCAGTTACAGC